TAACTGCTAGATATTTTTAAAACAATAATTGTTTTCTCCTTCCCATTCTGTAGCTCAACAAAATTCCTGTGTTGTTTAGGTTATTCCTACCGATGGGCTATATTGCCCCGTTTCTGTTTGCTTGGTTACTTATGGTTAATAGTAATAATATTGCACCAACTAGCTTCAATACGGTTTCCGTAACCATGGATGTTATTTTTTGACAGAGGTTAGTCAGTTAGAGGTTCTTCAATTAGGCAGAATTCAAACTATTTTCAACAGTATGGTGAAGCAGAAATCTCATAAACGCTGAGAATGTTAATTCATTTCACTCATCAGCAAAGCAAAAGAAGTAGTGATGAACGCTTGGAGTTCTTATATGTCAGTTCAAAATGGATGTTCGGTGTTTTCACATGCAAGTGCAATATTAATTGAAAAATCTCAACTTACCGGTTATTCAGTTACTTAAGCATTCCACAAGATGGCTGCAGGTATCACATTTGCTTGTCAGTAGGACTGTTGATTTCCCTGGACTGTCAGAGCAACTTATTTTCACCATGCGATGCAACGGAATGTTGCATACGTCTGGAGATAATTTTCTAACAAATATCTGCAAGACAAGGATCCTCGATAAGTAAATGAGAACTCCGTTTTCCTGTGATATGCTTTATTTTTGACAGGCTCAATAGTAATTAGCTTCACGAACGACGTCTGTTTATTGAATACCTCCATAAGAAACATTCCATTAGTCATTCACGAGCCCAAATATCACAAGTATATGTAGACGGACAATCTAAAATTCATGATTCATACAAATACCTGCTTTGCAGAATAACACTCGGTTATATCGCAACCATAATTTATGACGACGTTCAACGACTTTGTAATAACCAAAATACCGATACCCGATTGGAACTCAGAACTAATGTATCACAGTTTATTCAATCAGGACAAACTATGTTCTTCTGTACATCATACACAGCGTTCCCGAGTGATCCTTATTAAATTGGATCAAAACATAAACTCTGTCTTGAATTTAAATAGCTTTTATTTGTTAAAAAGTATAGATTATACCAAAAGCACAAAATACTTCAAACGGTACAGCTTGTGTTATACAATCATTGTTTTCTACAATACAAACTAACGTGTAAACAACAAAAGGAATAGTTAATAAACAAATGCTTGATACCTGAGAATCAGTAAAAGTAGTTTCAAGAAGATGTGACCAAATGTCTATCTGCAAAGCTTCCGACAACAGTTCCAGACAGACAGTCAGTGTTTAGTAGTCACTCACTGAACCACTCCATGATCTTGAGCGTAGTCAAATGCGATCTCATTGGCAATGGTTCAGAAACATGCAACAGTAAAATTAAGTAACAAAAGGCAAGTCTTTGACCAGAACTACACAGTAAAAGCTCAGGAGAGAAAGACTAAAGAACGTAAAGTGCAGTTGAAGGAGACCTGAATAAAGGTCAAACTACGAGGCAGGAAAAACAATCCTAGAAGTACTACAATAGGCTGGTCCCGAACTTTTTATATAAGGTTGAAATTTTTCGAAAATCCCTGAACCACGTAATTCATCAGTTGTATATAATTTACATTATGCCCAATAAAAATCCGTTCACCACCTAGACACAGCCAATCGTGAAATACAACAGACAAATTTACTTCACATGTTTCATTTGTATCAGCACGTGGAAGCTAAGTTCGTGGGACTGCTTTCAAAAAGATTGTAGGCCATCCATTTTCCATCATCTTTAAAGTGGTAAAGTGTTCAGTGTACTAACTTCAGCACAAGTAAATAGTTGTGTTATCTTACCAGAGATTAGCTCACTACGTTCTGATTAAATTAAAGGACAATATATATATATATAGTTTACTCAACTTGTCAAGTTTTTCGGTGAAAGAATTAACTAATTGGGCTCATGATTTCATGGCATCTCTTGATTATGCATGCATAACTCTACACTACAGCTAACCGAACCGTATGTTTTTAAACGTCAGTTACACTGCAAACATTACTTAACCTCCTTTCAAAAATTACTTACGCTTATTTGAACGATTGTTAGCACTACAATACATTTGTGCGAAGTGCTTTCTATCTCACTACCTAAAGTGAGACAAATGGTTTAGTAGTTGAAACCTTATTGGTGACAACCCTAGCATCATCGACAGAAAACTATTTTTACCATCGACTGTATAGCGACGTAAATTATTAAAATTTGCGAAACCACTTTTGTCCCGAACATAAATAACTGTAAAAACTTACTGTGGCTTCTTCAACTGAGTCCATACTCATAACCATGTTCATAAATTTCAATATTCGACAACAATAGTGTTCATTTATTGATGATCATAACCATCTTGGGTTTCCATTTCTGAACTTAACACTGAGTATGTGTTCATTACCGGTTTGCGCACCGGCGAACGTAAATTATGGGTCTCATTAATTTTGACATTCTTACCTACTTACTTACTTACTTACTTACTTACTTACTTACTTACTTACGTCTGTTACTCCTTGTGAAGGAGCATAGGCCGCTCACCAGCATTCTCCATCCAACCCTGTCCCAAACAATCCTTTCCAGCTCCTTCCAGTTGTAATTAGTCCTTTTCAGATCTGCTTCTATTTCCTGACGTAATGTGTTCTTTGGCCTTCCTCCAGGATTCCAAGTTAGGGCTTGTCTCGTGATGCAGTTTGATGATTTGCGTAATGTATGTCCTATCCATTTCCATCGTCTTTTCCTGATTTCTTCTTCAGCTGGAAGCTGGTTTGTCCTCTATCACATAAGGCTGTTGCTGATGGTATCCAGTCAATGGATGTTGAGTATCTTGCGTAGACAGCTATTTATAAATACTTGCACATTCTTGATGATGGTTGTTGTAGTTCTCCAAGTTTCAGCTCCGTACAGTAGAACTGCCTTAACATTCGTATTGAAGATTCTCACTTTGATATTGGTTGAAAGTTGTTTTGAATTCCATATGCTTTTCAATTGAAGGAATGCAGCCCTTGCTTTGCCAATCCTCGCCTTTACGTCTGCATCTGAACCTCCTTGTTCATCGATGATTCTTACCAGGTATGTGAAGGATTCTACATCTTTGAGAGTTTCGCCATCAAGAGTGATTGGATTGCTGTTCTCCGTGTTTTATTTGAGGAACTTGGTTTTCCCCTTGTGTATGTTGAGGCCTACTGATGCAGAGACTGCTGCTACACTGGCCGTCTTGTCTGCATCTGTTCGCGTGTATGCGATAGGAGGGCTAGGTCATCTGCGAAGTCCAAATCGTCTAATTGATTTTGAGCTGTCCATTGTATTCCGTGTTTTCCTTCAGATGTCGAGGTCCTCATAATCCAGTCGACCACCAGAAGAAAAAGGAAGCGAGTGAGTAGACAGCCTTGTCTGACTCCGGTCCTTACATAGAATGCATCTGTCAGCTGTCCTCCATGCACGACTTTGCATTGTAGTCCGTCGTATGAGTTCCGGATAATATTCACAGTCTTCTCAGGAACTCCGTAGTGTCAAAGTAGTTTTCATAACGTCCTCCTATCTACACTGTCAAGTGCCTTTTCATAATCAATGAAGTTTATGTACAGTTTTAAGTTCCACTCAATTGACTGTTCGATGATGATACGTTGTGTTGCAATTTGGTCTGTGCATGACCGATCCTTACGGAATCCAGCTTGTTGATCTCGAAGTTGGGCGTCTTCTGCGTCTTTCATCCGGTTCAGCAACACTCTGTTAAACACTTTCCCTGGTATTGACAGTAGTGTAATGCCTCTGTAGTTTTCACATTTAGTCAGATCTCCTTTCCTTAGAATTTTGACGAGGTGTCCTTCTTTCCAGTCCATCGGCACTTGTTACTGCTCCCAAATCTTTTTGAATATGGGGTGAGGCACGTTTGTAGTTAATTCGATGTCTAACTTCAGTGCTTCAGCTGATATATATTGTCAGGTCCTGCTGCTTTTCCGTTCTTGATTTGTTTGATGGCCATTCTGATTTCTTCCGTCGTTGGTGGATTGACATCTATAGGAATATCTGTGTGTGCTGCTTCGATGGCCGGTGGGTTCATTGGAGCCGACTCATTCATTAGTTCCTTAAAGTACTCTACCCATCTGTTCCGCTGTTGTTGAATTTCAGTGATTGGCTTGCCTTCTTTGTCTTTGACCGGTCTTTCTGGTTTACTGTATTTCCCTGCTAGTTTCTTCGTTGTATCGTAAAGCTGTTTCATATTTCCTTCTCTTGCGGCTTTTTCCGCCGCCGAGTACTGGATCAACGCTTAAGTAGTGCTTCAATTGTGAGTTGACAATAAACGTGCCTGTCAAAAGTTATGCAGTACAACCTTAACCCACCACGAGAGCTGAAAAACACTGAATTGTCACACGAAAACCAGATCTCAGTTGTTATTAATCAATAAATCATCTCAGTCATTCCAGTATTTGGCACAATAATTCGCCATAAGGACATCTCACAGATTTGACTGTTAAAGATGATGAAATAAAGTAAATGCTTATTTCTCACGATATTAATGGAGATCTTGATGACACCCAAAGCTCATGGAAACACCAGAGGTTTATATGAATACCTAAAAAGCCTGCTTAGATCAAATGTTTTCCGATACATTTACTTTCTTCCAAATATGTCTTCAAACTCCCACATTCTTGACATATGGTTCGAATGGGTTTGAGATCTTTCGATTACGAAGGTGCTACGGGCAGAAGCGTCGCCAAACATTGGATATTTTGGACCATTTCTTCTTCCAGACTGCCTCATAAATGACAAAAAATAAATTTTAGAAGAGCTGTATAAATGTGTCTAGTATGTTATTCTGAAACCTTAGTTTATATTCTTAGAGAGTCGATAAGATGTTGCCAGAGAGAACCACACATTAGGTAGAGTGAATTAATGTTTGCAGATTCATTTTATAGTTCAGCATGTACTGAAACGAAAACAATTGTTTAGTTACTCATAACTTCGACAGCGTTTCATCAATCAGTTGCCATTCTGCATTTATTATTTTATGGCATGGATGAACTCAACTTATCGAATAGTTTGGCCAGTGTTCAGTTAAATCTCACTGACGCTGCATTAATTACAGAAATACCTTCGGAAACTACTGTTCGACTAATTTGAACACATAAATAATGGTCAATTTTACTTTAACAGAGAGCGGGGCTTACGAACGGTGGGTTAATTTTCCCGACTCCGTTTTGTATCCAAATATTCGTTAGATAATACGGTAGTAACTAGTTTGGATCAATTAATCATCTTCAACTCAAGGCACGTCTTTATTAATATTCGCTAAATCAGAATATCGTAAACGGTGTTTTTGGAGGACTGTTCAGTGTACATATAATATAATATGTACACCGAACTTTAAGGTGCAGTATACCCTCCCCCAAAAGTCATTCTCCACCCTAAATGATAAGTATATTTTCGCAAATTCATGAAGAAGGCCTAGCACTCATAAAAAACCTTATTACTAACACGCCTAATTTAGCCATATTCACACATTGTATACCATATATATTTAGCTTGCATCAAATGTGGCCGTTTGTCAGTAGTTAACTTTTGTACAAAAACTCTGAAATCATCATTTAGTGAATATGAGTTCAAGTGAAGAATCTACATATAGTTTTTAACCACAAGACACTTGAATATATCTAAACTTAAAAACGAACGGATTGGTAAAGCAATCTGATGTATATGATGCCCAAAACTCAAGTTACCTTTTCATTTATCTGCACAATCAGGCTAAACTTACCTATTGCAGTGACAACATTATTGGGCTTTAGGAGAGTTCAGAGTTCCGTTCTGGAGTGACCTATTTCGCGAAATAATAACACATTTGCATTAACTAGAATCTCAATCTAAAGTTAACCTCTTCAAACTACCGCTGAGTGGCTTTTCTGACCACAGAAAATCCACAGTACATATATGCTTAAACTTTTCTACATAGAACAATACAAAAAGTGGGAAATCATGTTAAAGTATACAGTCAACAATATGCTAAAAAGTTAAACCAAACAGGAAAACATGTAGGTGGGTATTTCGGTATTCCGGTTCAGCGAACAGATAATGGTGACCATCTGCTGCAACTGTGCACGGACAGTCATTAGTTTTTATCAAACTAATTTTAAACATAAGGAGATACATCGTCTAACATAGCGACTCCCTGCACCAAACCAACGATGGACTTAAATAGTCCATATCGCCATCAGTCATCCTTGGAGAAGCCCGACAGAAGACTGCCGCTCGTTCTGGGGTGCATGCTTTGATCTTTCTCTAATACGAGCACGCATTTTCTTGCGCCTCACCAGACACAGAAAAGCCTCATTAAGAAACCAAATAGAGTTTAACTCAGTGACGAGGAAGCCGAAGCTAAATTCCAGGAACAACTGAGGCCATACTAAGTCAATTGTGAAACTGAGGCTGACCCAGATGTTGCTTGGAAAGATATATAAACAACTGTGAAAACAGCTGCACCATCTATTAGTGACCAAGTCTGAAGCCAGCCTGATTTTCTCGTGATTGTAGTTCACGAGTCTTAGTTAGTTTGCCCCTAAATGCCCTGGTACGGCCGAGAGTGAAGAGAGTCCGCTCTCCCTCTCGAAATGCTCTCACATGGCCACGCGTATATAGCCTATGCCAGGGAAGTCCTACTCACTGCCTTCTCGCACCACGGGTGTTGTTTACAGAATTGAGAGGATGAATGTTCGGCGCTTTAACCGGGTTGGTGGACACGGAAAGTTCACCCAGGAGAGTTGGAAAATCCTGATTCCAAACCAATGGTGCACATGGGCCCCAGTACCCTGTGGGAACAAATGGTGTGTGAATCAATCGTTGGTCACCGGCTACCTTAGGACTGCATCTTTTGACGTTGCTCCACTGCTTTGTGTATCAGACCTTTAGGTCGAAGGCTCGGGGTGTGGCCCCCTAAGAAAACCACCTGCTTCGGTTTGGGCACCCGGGTAGTATCACAGCCCTCACATAAATCAAAGATTTGTGTGGCACATATGTATCTGGTTCCCCCTCGTACCAGTATTTATGTGCTCAAATAAATAAAATAGGGACCCAATAATTATTGAGGCTAGTATTTTAGGTGCTAAAATTAGGCTGGCTTCAGACTTAATCGTGGCTACATCAACCACATATTCACCATTCATCACGTTTTAAATTACAGGCATGCTTATCGGCGTCCGACAATTATAGTTTTTCTTGATCTCTCTCTGTAGACCAAGAGATTTTGTGGCAGAGTATGTTATTGAAAGATGTACCTCAGAAGTACATAAACCTTGTGAAGGCTCTTTACTCGGACACTACCAGTAGAGTTAGAGCTTATGGCGAACTGTCGTCTGATTTCGCAACCTCAAGTTGTGTCCGTCAAGACTGTCGACTGTCTCCGTTTTCGTTTAACCTCATCATAGACCTATTGCTGGAAATAATGCTCTCGTTGACTGAATTCTCAGGCATTGATCTCCTTCCAGGAGGTCCACTTATCGACTTAGAATACGCGGATGATATAGTCCTGTTTAGTGAAGACGCTGTTAAAATGCAGTCTTTTAGTAGCACTGAGCAACAGTGCCAGAGTGTTTGGAATGCATTTCTCCCCCTCCCTGGAGACTATTGAACTGATATATGGAGGGTTACTAGTGGGTGAATATTCTCAGACTACCTACAACTGATCACTTCACCCATATGAATATTTTTCTATAAAGTTCTAGCTGTTAGAGCCTTTAGTTAGTGACTATCATTCTTTTTAAAGACTAGCAAGGATTGCATTCTAGTAGTGCGTATTGTAAGCTGAAAGGATTTTCACATCAGATCTATAATACTGTTTTTTTAATGTCATCATTCTAATTAGGTCTTTACCTCTTGCCTTTTAGTTTTAATGGATGTTGAGTCGCCAGAGTCCGAACAGTTGTTGGTCGAGGAATACAAAAATCAAGGAAACTCATGTTATAAACAAGGAATGTACAATGAAGCTATAGCATGGTATACAAAAGGCATAGAAATCGATAGTACCAATGTGTTTCTGTACAATAACCGCTCCGCAGCTTACCTGATGATTAATAAACCTCTTGATGCTTATAAAGATGCTAACAGGTTTTGTTTTCATTCATTTCAGATAAATTACTTACTTGATAGAAGTATCAGTTTAGATTCCCAGAATGTAAAATCTATACTACGTTGCTTAAAATGTTGTCTTATTTTGGGTGATTTAAATGAAGCCAAACGTCTGTGTTCTATGGTTAGACAGTTGGAACCAACTAATATGGAATTTTCGTCATTGGTAGTGACTCACTGAGCGTTTACTAACGGAATTTATTTAGCTGCAAAAAATTGAATTACTATCAGAAACTCACCGATCTTACGAAGATAAATTATCCACATCTGACTTCCGACACGTATAATTTACTCTATAATGTTAACACTTATTTATGATAGGCTCTTCATTTAATCACAAAGTGTATTGAATTAGCTCCAGCTTCACTAAGTTTCAACTTACAAAAGCTGAACATCCTCATTCAATTAAAACGATTCAGTGAAGCCAAGATTTTAGTTGAGTAAGTTTCTGTAATGCAGTTAATATTCTGAGTACAGAAACTTATTGCATTCCCATTCTTCATCAGTTGATCTACTCTTTTATCGAGGCCTGTGCCTGTACTATTTGGATCATTTAGATAAAGCAATTGTTCATTTTCAACATGTTCTACGCCTTCATCCAGATCACATAGAAACTCAGAAAGTGTACAAGCGTGCCAAAAATCTCCTGAAATATAAAGAAGAAGGAAACACATTTATACATGATCACAAATATTCTCAAGCACTTGAGGCCTACACAAAAGCCTTGGAAGTGGATCCTTCACACGATATGATTAACGCTAAATTGTATTGTAACCGTGCTTGTGCTCTATTTTACGTAAGTTTTTACAGTGAATTTTTCAACTTCTACATAGCTTGATCGTTTCGATGAAGCCCTAAACGATTGTGATAATGCAATTTCTTTGGAACCAAACTATTTAAAGGCTCGAATTCGACGAGCTAAGTGGTAAGTCAGGTTTATTTTAAATGATTTCACATTGCCGGATAATTAGTCAGTCGTTAAGCATTTGCTCATACTTTTCAACCGTTAATTCACTTAGTCAACATCTCATTAACTTTTCGAATAATCTTACGTAAACTTGTGGGTTATATTTCTTAACAATCTCACACCCTACAGTTGTGAATTGAACTGTCTTATGTTGTTCTTTAATCTACCTTATTAGATTAGATATAGTTCTCTATAAAGATCCTGAATATTGCCATCTCAACCACTGTTTGCTTAGCAAACTATCTACATCTTTAGTCTAGATTAATGTGCATATTATCTTCATGATCTGATAACTGTCTAGTTAATTAATTATTACTCAGTGATTTTTGTGTTTATCATCCAATCATTTCATTATAGGCTTCAGTCCTTCCTTCATCCAAGAATCTTTAATTAAATGTACAGTATCGTTTGCTTGCATGGTTAGTGCATGAATCTATCATCAAATTCCAAGTTGTGTCTTTATACTTTCGTGGCATTTTACGCTTAGTGGTTGCTTCTCATTTTCCGCGTATCGGTATGAGCTTAATTTCTTTAAACTAGAACTTGTGTGATTTGTGGCCAGTGCATAAGTTGACGTATAACTACTTGTTCGTCTTACTTATTATGTTCTGTATTATGACAACGTCAAAGAGTTCATTTCCACTAGTTGGAGTATCTTATTGTTGACTGGTATTGAAAACTATTAAGTACCGTAATAATGAAAGTTTCATCAGATCTATTTTTTTAATCTTCAATAGTATATCTTGTTTCTCAAATGGTCAAATATAAGAAGATAGATCATTGATTTCACTGTTTTTTATACGTAAAGGCTTATCTGTAATAATCACTATTAAATTTCTCACATCTACTTAGATTTTCCAATCTGTACTTCTAAACACTGTTTACTCTGATGTTTTCTAGCTCACTAATAATTAATAGACTCATGTTTCTAGTGATATTTATTAGTTAACGGCAAAAGATAATGCCAAGGTTTACAAGTCTGATTAGATAGAATGTATTTGAACTCTTAATTCATAGTGGCGAATAATTTCGTGCCAAGACAAGTGAGCTATCGACCAAACACTATCGTTTAAGTCAGAGATTATCGGGAATTGTTGTCGGATATACCAACTTTGAGTGTTGTTTGTCAGAGCATTCTACTATCTTCACTTTATTTAACGTCATAAATATATTCATAGAAACCAGTCTTTTTCCTATCGAACAGTAGCAGTTTATAGTTTATTAAGTAAAAATAAGATCCGATAGCATAAAATTGTAGAAAAGTCTACTTGAATTTGACATAATTTGGTATATTTTATTTAGTGATTTTATCGCCAATAATATCTGACTTCATTAACTAGAACTCTAACTTGTAATGAATTTTCATTCATTTCATGTTTGATTGTTACATAAGTTTAGTCATTAACAAATTTCTTTTTATTTATTTCAGTTACTGTCATGATTATCACTGTTTTTGTTTAGTAGACTTTGAATTGTAATACCTTTATTTCACGGAAATAATCACTTTGAAAACATAAATTTGTTCTATATTGTGTATATAATTATTCTTTATGCAGTTATTCATCTCTTGAAGAATATGAAAAAGCAGTTGAGGAATGGACTGCAGTAGTAAAATTAGACGGATCACAAGAAAATAAAAAATCTTTACAAGCTGCTAAATCTGCTCTTTCCGTGTCTCAACGTGATTACTATAAAATACTTGGTTTGAAAAAGAATGCCTCTTCCGATGATATAAAACAAGCGTATAGAAAAAGTGCACTTTTATATCATCCAGGTATGGGATTTTAACTTGCCTAATTCATGTATATTATTTATTTTATGCTACATACGAGGTATTGTTCTAGACTATTTTACGTGTAATAATGAGCCTATCTACTCTGCTACTCCCACTTTAATTGATGATGTACATCTTGAACTCATCCATCACTAATTAATGGTGACGTACTTAAATCTTTATACTACAGCTTAATTCAAACTAGGTAGGTATGCATTTTATTCAAACAGTTTACTTCATCGAGTAATTCATGTGACTTACCTGGGACTCATATATTTCTAATGTTGTAGTTCATAAAAATCAGAATCCTTCAGAGTTACAATCAATTATAGAACATTCAAGTATTGTTATACATATGTATTTCGAAATCATATTCTGAATTCATGAGAATAATCCTTTTTTGAGATCATATTTTAGGTGGTGTTTTCTAGTTCAATTAAAGACCTTTCTTATAACATTTATAGTCCTTTTTTTAGTGGATACAACTCGTAAGATTTTTTTGAATGAAAGCAAGTAATTATTTATTGCCTGTTTTCTTCAAAATTTTTCTTGTTTGAATACCTTGTTGACTTAGTTTTTTTCTTGCGAAGTTTATCCTGTTTGTGCAATTTCTGACCAGATTTTAGTTTTCAAATTGCTTACATTTGGATCGTGTACTCAATAAATTGGCTTAACTAAAATGGTGATACTAAATAATTTCAAATATATATTACTAATTTTTACTGACATTTTGTTCAAACTAATTTCACTAAAACAGAGTAAGGCAGTTGACTTATCCTCTATACTCAATTGACTTCGACGACAATTGTATGTGATCACATTCTTTACATTAGCTGTTTATGAAAAGGTCAATTAATAGCTAGATATTTGTTTGTCAACAATTTTGCCTATATTTAGCGATTTGATGTGTTTTAAGGAATCCTACAAAATCGATGAAATATAATTATAAATACCAAGGAAATTTATACTTAACAGCTTAGGATTTGTCTGTTACAGATAGATTAACAAAATATGAACGCCTATGGAATCTTAACAAACAGCTTTAAGGCTAGTGAATTTGATATCTTTCTAATAGAGGAATTTTTAAATCTGGAAGATCGATTTGTGCATTTAGAGAATAGACACAATTTACAATCATACATATAAATATCTTTATATTCACATTACATACATCATCTATGTGGTTTTCTGTAATTTACCGCTTGATCCTAAATTATTATTACACTCAAGATACCTTTAAAAATGTCTGGTTAACACTTCATTATGTTTTTGTTTAACTTTCACTAGCAAACAATATATATTTAAAATCCCTATCTACTGAGATTTAAAATCTATTAGCCTTTCATGCTGTGAGATTATGGTAACTCATCTATTAACAACTAGTTCTCATCACAGAATAAAAACTAGGAGTATTTCTAACTTAATTAATTTTAATGTAACATTTATACTTTTATTTCGATATTTTATTTTTCCCAATTAACGGTTATCGATCTGATTTTATCATTAATAATGTACCTTGTTCTACATTCTACTAACTCTATGTAATCTCTGTCTTGTATAATATCAATTCATTAATATATAATAGTTGGATTATTTGCTATTCTGTTAATATATCTTTAACATCACCAGTTAGTTAGTGATTGTTTCAGTTAATCATGTCATAAATTAAAGGTCATATTCTTTTTTTCAAAACAAGTGATAAGTTCATTCTTTAACACTTATATCAAGGATCCGAATAAACTTAATCATAGTATTAAAGGTGAATGCTTTATAAAGTTTGTTGTTGTTCGTAGTTTAAAGAACTTTTATTATGCCAAGTAGCTATTCATTTAAGTTGTGCCTTTCCTACGCAACATTTATATGGACCATGTGATTAGGTTTCTAGGATAGCTTGGTTAGAAATAGATTTTGGACTAGTTCGTCACATGGCATCTTCATGACTCAGACCTTCCTGTGTATGTCCCCCTTTTAGACTGTTCTATGCAATATTTTGTCCTTAGAAATCGTGAACATCCGTAACTTATATCGCTACTTTTTCTACCGTTACATGCATACAGCAACATCACTTCATAAACGATACTGTTATAATCTCTTTCTTACGGTTATGACCCAGCTATTCCTATTGCTTAGTATTTTCAGACACCGATTCACTCGACAAATCCCCAAATCAGAACACGGTTGAACAGGAAAAGAGATTATATTCCAAATAACATGGTTAGATGGAAGTAAGATGCAAGTAAGAAGCACAATAGGAAAAACGTTAGTATATTTATAGTTTTTACACGAGAAGATTCTAGAGTGTTCTCCAAGTATTGACTAGTGTTGATTGGACAAGAATTAGCCAATCAACGTGCACCAAAGCAATCGTGCATTGAGGATGCTTTAATCCAGTCTATGTCCCGCTAACAGATACTAAGGTTTAATAATGTTTACGGTATTAAAACGGATCCAATAACTCAGATTTTGTTAACTACTCTAATCGCATCTATGGTAGAAATGTCATTGTTGTGATTGACCATTAGATTCGCCTAGTAAGAATTCAAAATCTCCGTATGTGATTATTTTCATTCTCTATGATCATTACGATTGTCTCATTTTCCATTCATTTTATATGGGGTCCGCGTGACTTTCGTAACCGATGATTGGTGACTCTTGGTGACGTGGCTCAGAATCGATCACAATGGCGTCGGTGTATACACTCCCTGTCTTCCCTTAAACTAAGAGATTAAAATCACTTCACATCTTTCTTTTTACTAACTAATTCTTTCTTCCTGTACTGTATCCTTATATGCAATCTTTCTCCTATATATTACCACCTTTGACCTAACCACTCCTATGAATCCGGTGTTCATCTTGCTGTGCTAATGGGGTATGGCAACCTGGACCGATGCATATATGTGCCTGGTCCTACGTTGTAGCTGACTGACTGATTCATTTTATATATGCGTTATTCCATTTTGTCATTTTACATGTAACATTTAATGATAACTGTAGCGATTAAAATTTTCCATTCATATTTATCAAAATCAATTATTACTTATAGATTTAAATGAAAACCCATCATAGTCACAATCATCAAAATTCCATTAGCTCTGTTAGCGGACATTTTACACATATTTGAAAAGTTACACTTTTCGAACATAACAGTTTGGTGATTAATTTAATGTATTAACCGACACAGCATGGATAAATAATGAATTCATTGACATCCCTTTCTTTTCGTATACAATTCTAGATCGTCATACAAGTGCCGATGAAGCTACTGTAAAAGAAAAGGAACGGAAGTTTAAAGAGATTGGAGAAGCTTACAGTATATTATCAGATCCTGTAAAACGTCGTCAATATGATAATGGTGAACTGTCGGGAGATGATGCTTTTGGTCAAGGTAAATTGAATTTTTCTGTGATTCATTGTTGAGTCATGTAATCCTACTAATTGCTACATTGTATATCAGTTGTCTGTAAGTCGCTATTGTCTACTATCGTTTCTTGTTCCAGTAGTAGCTAGATTAAAACTAACAGTTACAAATGTCTTGTAGTTTACAAATGAAAACAATAGCTCTGCAACGGTACTCTTACAACTTATTGTATCCTTCACGGCTTCATTTCGTCTTTATATGCAGTTTACAATCTATAATACATTTCAAAATGAGACCTTTTACGCTTATTTTTACATTTGTCGCTCACCAATGAATTTTTTCAATGAACTAGTTTATCTTCACACCTTATTTCTTAATGTTTGTTCACTTTTAAAATGGAAAGTTTAAAAATATGATTTACTAGATGTTAGATCTTAGTAAAGTTAATAATAGGATTTTTATTTGGTAACACAATGATGAATGAACCACAGCTTTACACTTTGTTAAACTTCACTTTAAACTAAGTAATCCAACAGACTAAACCATTTTCTGCTACTCCCCCAGTCAATTTCATTTTCTGTATTTAATCAGGATTTGTCTGCCTATTTTTCTTAAACTACACCTTCTGTAAAGGCATCTAAGTAAACCCGTCTCATTCGTAAAAAAACATAGAATGAGGCTTCCACAAACTGGTCTGGATAAATTACTGAATAATTTGTTCATCCTTTGGGATTCATTTATAAATAACCAAAGCGATACAGCCTTGAAATGATCTTGGTTATCTTTTTCTCAAAATAAAGCAATCTGCCATCACATTGCTAATTGTTAATTTTCGCATTTGTATCCATCCTTTTATTATTTTCTTTTTGTCCTATAGAGTAAGGCCAACACTAAGTCATTCTCTCACTTACAATACAACAATATAATCAATAAGTTTACTTATCATTTGATATATTAAACAAACTAATAGTCTGACCTGTAATATTCTGTATCTTGAATCGGAATCGCATACTTTTTTTTCTAAAGCCTACATTTTAATTTGAGTCGTCAATTTATAAATTACTACCTCCACGTGGACAGAATTTTTCTATGAATGTTTGTAAACAGTCTATCATGATATAAACCATGTCATGTGAATGTGCTCATCTTAGATTATAATAAATTATTCATAAGAAAGTATCTCTTCACATCTTATTCCAACAATTAATCAATAAATCTAAAGATAAATTGAGTTTATTGTTTTTGATATGACTGGAAAACTGGTACTTACTACATGATGCGCTGAAATTCGTACAATATATACAGAAAAGAAAAAAACTGATGATAAAAGCAGATTTTCTATACACCCTCCAAAATACGAAGATCTTGTAAATCACAATAGGCTCATCAGTTTTACTGATATCTGGTGATTAGTTAATGCATGTAACACAACTTAGATATGGGTAATACCAAAATAGATTGTTTCACAGAATGAATACTGTGTATGATACTGAATAAAGTTCAAAATAAACCAACATAATGTAACACTGAAATAAAACGAATACTAAATAGTTGCTCCCAAAAATTTAGTTGCATGTTATAGGCGACTGGAGATAATCAACTTCATAGTTTACACACAATCCAATCAATTAAGACCGCTCATCACTTTTTCAAGTTTTGTTGTATATTAGTTGGACAATACAATGTTCCAAGTTTTGTAGATTATTGATTTCATTTTACTACTAGATCCTATCTATTCATAACTGTAACCGTTTTTGAAAGTTCTATTGATTTTTAATGTCTTTTTCCAAAGGAAATGTATCCGCTCACAATTTGTTTACTCAAGTCTTTCCTGGATTTGGAACATCTACAGTACATTTTTATTTTGGTTAATATTCCACACATTGGTATATACAATTAGTGCCGGAGTTAGTATACATCAGGTTGTAATTGTAATAAACCTTCCTCTCTGTTTATGTACAAAAATTGGGCGACGAAATATATATTGTTTATTTATCAGATATCTTTGTGGTTAATACTTTGTCTCTGTTAGACACATAGATGTTGATATCAATACTTATATGAGTGTCTGTATGTCTGTGAACAATTGTAAATCAATGATTAATATAATGTCGGAAATGATTCACCGGGTATATTGTTTAATTCTAAATGTTCTTTTAATCCGTACATTATGAATGCATATTTAATGTGCATATACGTACATATATATTGGAAGTTTTTCGCGCTAATATTAATGAAATGAATGAAATAGTCATTTTCAATTGTATTGTCAAATTGGTTAGTGTTCGTTTTTTCTTTTAAAAATGATTTTCAATGATAATGTGATTAACTTAATGCTGTTAAAATGATTTTATTCGTCTTTTTTCTGTTCTTACTCTTTCATACTTGTTTTTGGAATTAACTCAGTAATGACTAAATAACTTGACATGGTTCAAGAACCCACTTTAAATTTTGATGGTAGGAAAATTAGTGTTTCAAGTTATCAGAAGCACCTGACTGTCATGATTTAAAATATCTACCGATGCTATAAGTACATCAGTCATTTTTTCTTATGTATACAGTCAGGTGAATAAAACAAATTTCTGTGACGAGATTTGATTGGATAACTGAATCATTTTTAGTTGATTCATATACAACTTAAAACCTGGCATATTTGCATTTATTCAAGTTACCATGCAGTACTAGCACAGTAGAATACAATTATCTAAACCAATACCAGGGCAGTAGAAAAGATCAAGTATAGAAGGAGAATGCATATGAACAGTCTCAGTTTTTTAACTGCAATAATACGCAACGGAACTGATGCAACTAGTTCATGAACAATTCACATTATAACCCACTGCCGGCTGCAGTGTCATCGAAAATACAGTAAACACTTATGGAATGCAAATGACAGTAATTTATTTATATAATTGTTGGGGATGCTAGATTCCCAGAAACCACTTGGTAAACGTCTTATTTTTGTAATTTTACTCTGGAAAGTTTTGCGCCTAAAGCGCCCACTATTACCTTCGGTTTGTATTTGCCATTCGGAAGGACCCTAAATGTCATTGATTCGTTTCCTCTTTTAGTACGTTATTTTGTGACGTTTCCCAAGGACCTTTTTATACTGTATATATATGCTTGAGTTGTGTGCTTGTTTGTTGGTGCTTCTCGCTGCTTGTGGAACATATATTCCCCTACAGTTGTCAGGGCTGTTACACGTCGGAATAGTTGAGCTTGTCTTCTCGTTGCGTTGCTGATCCTTCGTTCCGTTTCGCCAATTTCAATTGATCTTGTGATCTCTTCAAACATAGCAGATCTATAGTGCTGGTTAACAAGATACTTTAATTTGCTACATTTCCCGATCGGTTCACAATCAGACAAAATAGACTTCAAGTGCTTAGTAATGAATTTCTTGGTAGCAAAAATATGAACTTTTTCCTGGAGGAAGCGAAATTATAGCACACAATTTCTATTGAAATGAAATAATTTGCGCAATTGTAAAGATGTTACTTGGTTCCATAACAAAAGTAACGGAAAGACGGTTTAGAACGCTTTTAAATAAGAATATTGGTCAATAATTTATGTGATCTATGTGAATGCAGTCTAATCTAGTGAGTCGGAAATAGTCTCACCTTGCTTACGTTGAAGTTGCACATTGCACTTAGTACTTATCCTGTATTTTACTATCATGGTTGCCAAGTAAATCGACCTTCTACGTAGCTTGGGTAAACACACCTAATAGGCTACAAAATATACTAGTATTAACTTGTAAAAGAAGTAGACGTCGATTGTTCTTCACCTTGATGAGGATCGGTTGATTTCGAAGCTCAGTACCTTGCCTGCTCAATGAATTACTAAGGCTCAATTACACTTCTTGAAACACTAAACACCTGGACAACCTGTATATATCCAAGCAACCGGGAATATGCATTATATCGGAAAGTTTAAACGCCTGTATTCAAACCTCTTCTGTATAATGAACTTGATATAATTAACTACGCTAATTTCGTGAAATCAACACATATGTGGAAACACCGAAGTTCTCTTAAAAATATGCTTCCTGGATTCTAGCTCTCAAGAATCATTTTATAGCTTCTTATCAATGACTAATCATTGTCTTTATATATATGTGGCTAATAGAAATATAATCGGAAAGTAGCCTGAACGAACAATTGAAGCTGACATACATTCGCTTCGTCATTTCCAGAGTATAATCATCATAGTTAAAAAATTTGACATATAAAATGCACATTTTGTTGGGTTAACTTACATTTGTTGGAAAGCGATTTCATATATGAACTTCAGAAAGGCAAAAGTCACTTAATCCACTCAAATTCAGAATCTATGTTATGAATGATACTGAACGAAGGGATTCTCTGTTAGAATAAACTAGCGGAAAAGATATTTTTAACTCTTATTATGAAGCAAGTAAAAGTTAGTTTTAGTGATAAATAGTGGATATCAGTATCTCAATGAAAAAATCTTCATAAGTTCGATACGCCTTAGATAGTGTCTACATTTAAATGGTCAATTAATGAAAATGCTCTCCTAATTTTGATTTAGAATGTAAGAAAACTATAGTGTTGTTTGTTGACAAAATAAAAGTATTCTGAAGTATAAGTATCATGAAGTGATTAGATTTATAGCCAATATATTAGAATTAACGTTTACTGTGTATATTTTTGATCTTAGAATATCAGGAGTTTTCCGATAACCATGGTACTGAGTTGAATCAATTTACAGATAGTTGTTGTGCATACATTTGAAGCAATCTAAATCATTATCCGTGTGTTTGAAATCCAAGTGTTCGTTAGTGAGGAATTAATACAGACCATTACATGAGCGCGTAAGAAACACTAATTAGAAAATGACGATTGGTGATTATGGTAAACTTGTATCATATACCTTAATAAATACATATTTCATCGACTATGAATAGAACACATTGTTCCGAACAATAACCAAATTAATTACTGATATGGTTTTGTGGGAATTTTCGTGTAACCTGAACACCACGTCTCACTAAAAATTGGTTTCATTGTTAACCAGAAAGTAATGAACAGTGGTTTCAATCCAATGCCACAAACATACACTCACGTTTCTATACTCACTGGAACATGGGATGCTCAGAGTTCATAGCGAACAAGACACCTCTGAGACGCACAACAGAATATGGATGGCATCAGATGATGATTATGACACATCAAAATCTAGTTGGAGTCGGAAATGTTGACCTTAGGATCTCAACTGTTTGCCTCAACGAGATAGTGAGACTTCACTGTAGACAGTCAGATTTTCTGTGTGGTCATGAGTGAGCACCAATTAAGAATGTCGGATCAGAACAAAGTATCTAGCCAGTCATTCATTTGGTGTCATTATATTATAACAACTGTCCTCATATGAAATAAATTCCCACAAACCAACTAACCAAAAATTGGTTGCCGAACCATGTGTTAGAATGATTTACATGGATAAGTATGACATACATAATTTTCCTTGAATTTTCAGTACTATGATATCGTTTTCAATTACTGAAGTAAATGTTAATCCCAAAATATTTACTTGTCATTTTGATTGAGTTATTGACTGATAAAACACTGCAGTGACTGGTGAGAGGTTGGCGAATTGATAGTGTTTTCTACAAGGTCAGGTTTTTAGTTTCGACTACATAGATATACGTGGCCCTTGTATTAGAAAGTATGGGGAATGCTTTTTTAGTAACTTCGTGTCTGATGTGATTTCTTTAAATATTTAGTTGACTAAATGCAACTTGAATTCCAGTGTCTACGAAGATTGCTAGTGATTTAATGATCATATGTAAAATAATTAAACACTTTTATTTTCACGGTTTTGTATTTTCTCGGTTTTAGCATTCAGAACTAAAGTTGACTGGTTAATAGTAACTTCATTCCTGATGAACAATTTAGTGGTTATCTGAACTCAATAGATTAGCTGACGTTTGAAGTGAAATATATTGATTACCGGTCCAAGTGTGAACACGAACTCTAACCCACGTTTATCTATCTGATGAGTCACGAAGCATCGATTGTGCTTGACTATTGTTAGCCACAATCCTAAGATTTGCTGAACCATTTTTCTTCTTCTTCTTTACAAGACATTTCACGCCGAACAGGAGAGATTTTTTTATTGTACCTCATATTGATAATAAGTAGTTCGTTTCATAATTCCCTTATAGCACAAATATTAAGCTTTACTGGGAGGAAGTGGTGTTTTGGTACATAGTTTCCTGAATGGCGTAATTTCGCAAATATTATTTGATTCGGTAGCAAGAGAATGCTGAAGATGACTTGGAACGCTGTATATATGAGACAAATATTCTTGGTCCACTAAAACCATGGTCAACTGGTATGTTTCAGAAAATACTAGTAAAAATAAATTTATTTGAGAAAATCGAACTTCTTATCCTAACAGCTGTTCAAAGTTTATATCCAACAGTAGATCATTCACAATCAAATTCCGAATTCTTCTTTAGCGTCCACGTCTTGGACTTCGCCTACTGTTTGGTCTTCTCTTGCCTATCAATGAAAGAAAATATTGTTTAGTAGGAATACTAGTAGATTTTGTACTGTGCGCAAACACAAAAAGTGGCAATGTTTTCTTTTATGCTGCTGAGTTAAAAAACACCAAGGATCTCTTAGTTCAAATGTGCACTGTGATTTAGATTTTGTCACGTTGATGACTGCTTTAGTTAACTTGCTAACTCTTGTTCACTGATTGTCTCTATCCTGATTTGACACATTGGACAAACAATTTTTAATTAAATTCTTTTTAAACTACAACACGTCACAGTGAACTAACTTTCCCTCTTGTTTATATGCGTAGGACAGTTTCATAGTCAGACAATGTCGTTATTTATGGTTTGGAGA